CCTATTTAAAAAGGACATCTCAGAGAACGACACCTGGAGAGAACGGAGCAAAAGAACGCAGTCACGCTATTGACATTTCTGCCTCGTTTCAGTGTATAAAAGAACAGAGTATATAAATACTCGCCTAATTTATCACATTACTACAACCGCTATCTTGTTCTGACTTCAAAATTACCTTAAACAGACATTTCTCCAGACGGCGATCAATATCCGCCTTATTAACGAAATTTTGCTACGCTAAGTACCAAAGTACTCACTCATCAATCAAAAGAAAATAAATAAAAAAAATTATTTATTTTAAACCCTTGTGTCGTTTCTTTTTATTCCCAATGTTTCCAATAAAATAATTATCCCACGACTTATCCACACTACCAGCGTTCTGATGTGAACACAATATGCCACAATATCATTTATCAAATTATTTAAACCAAGTGCTCCTTACACAATAAATAGAGCTTTAATTTAACCAACGAATTTCTTGGAATACTTCGACCTAATAAACCAAATGTCGGCATCTCCTCGACGTTAGAACATTTTACTAGTGTCCCGGCCAAACACGTGTATACATAACCATATCATACATTCTGTCAGGACTTTTCGCTCTCATTATGACATCAAAAATTCAAACAACTACTTGCATGACTCAACTTAAATGATTATGATTACGATATTAACATTTAGACAGAAAACAACATTCAATATTGATAATGACTGAGATAGTTGAAATAGGTGCATTCTTGCTGCTTCAATACATATATATATATATATATATATATATATATATATATATATATATATATATATATATAGTAAGAGAGATCATCATTTCAACTTTTAAGAGATCTATTAGAAAAGATCCAACACAACACATATGACATTTGGCACGTGAGAGAGGAGTTGGCACGTGAAAGAGAAGTTTCAGCTACGACAGTCCAAAGAAAAGTAAAAAAAGACTAGAAAATAAAATATATATATATATATATATATATATATATATATATATATATATATATGAGGAGGAACGGTGGAGTAATGGATATCGGCTTGGATTGAGGAATCCAGGTTGAATCCATTACATTCACTTACGTTCTAATGCTCTTGGTAAAGGTGTGAATCCTCTTCTTCTCCCTCCAGCTATGGGTAAAATAGCAGGACAGACTGGGTTCTATATCCTTGGATGGCAACTGGTCTAGGAGAAGGACAACTCTGAATTCAAAACCTACGGAGTGTCGTTTGGGGACCTTGTGGCGCTTAGTGCACCAGGTCTGTGTATTTGTCCCTTCAAAAAGTGTGGATGGTCCTGCACGAAACCTTCACCACTATAATCGAATCTCATGTGCCGGTATCGGGCTGTCAGTTTCCTTCAAACTGATCTGCTTGACTCTCATACGTCGAACCCGACGGAAGAATCGATGTATATATATATATATATATATATATATATATATATATATATGAACTTTATTTCAATAATACATGAGATTCCGATCCTTAGCTATGACTAATTTATGATGAAAATATAATTTTCGTTTATCACGATTTTTCTGTTAAGCTTGGAGAGTAATTATACATTATTATTGCTTATAGTAGAGTCCAATAGTGTTGTAATAACCTCGGAGAATTTCAGTAAGTTAACTTATATCTTTTAGAAGATACAATTGTTTGAAACTTAATCTAACAAATGAACAATTTTGTACACTATTTACATTATTCAGACTATTGTACTCGTCTTTGTCGCCATCTTTTTTAAACATGGCGAAAAAGATGAAGGCAATAGTTCGAATAATGTAAATAACACATCTCAGAAATATAGACACATACTGGACAAGTTTGCTTATCCATGATTGGTACAATTTTGTTGTTACAGCCGATATATATATATATATATATATATATATATATATATATATATATATATATATATATATATATATATATATAATAGAATAATAACAACACCAATTGATGTGACTAAATTATATGATTTTACGTAATGTCAAGGTGAAAAAGAATTTTTGAAAAGAATGTGTTCATAAAATATAATAATAGAATAATAACAACATATTGAATTGATGTGACTAAAATTATATGATTTTACGTTGACGTCAAGGTGAAAATGAATTTTGAAAAGAATGTGTTCAGAAAGACTCGATGTAAAATTCATTATATATATTGAATATTCTCAATACTTATCGAAGATTTGTTTAGAGTTTCTTGGTGCTTTGCTTGTCAGCAATCTGAACTTGATTTTGACGCTTACAGCCACGTCATATTGAATCTTCGGTTCCCGTACGATCGCTGAAGTTAAGTAACGTTGAGCATGGTCACTACCTAAATGGTTGGCCGCTTAGGAATATCACGTGATATCAGCTTGAATGTGTGGGTGGTTTAATGAATAATGGTTCGAATTGTTAATCTTTTTTTTTCTTCTAAATCCGTAATTTTCTTCTTTTTTTTTCTTTTCGCTAATTCTAAGTCTCCAGAAAGACTCGATGTAAAATTCATTATTTATTTTTAATCCATAATATTGCATACGTCAAAATTATTCATCATTTTAACAAGAAAAATCTCAAGTTGATGTTTAAAATGGCCGCAAAACATTTAAGATAGAACAATCTTATATCTATAATTTTATTTTGATACAGTGTATTTATTTTCAATTTTCCAAGTTGAATTGTTTACTTATAATGCATATGGTTCATCATCGTCATTATTTTATACTAGCTTAAAATTTGCCCTATCAGGCAGCATCTAAGCTAGCTTCTGTAGAGAGCTCTTGATTAGGCCTTTAGCTTGTTCAGGAGTTTGCGAGTCCCTAAGTCTTTGCATATTCCCAGCATTAGAATCTCTCCTGGCTGCCGTTTGATCGGGGTTTTCATCCGCACGGGACTTTCTTTTCCTCGCTGCAGCCTTGGCTCTTTTTATTGTAATCTGCTTCTCTGTTGGTGGAGATTTCTTTTTGCAAGACATACTGCTGCCGTATTCGATAGGTAACAATAAACTGTAGAAGAACTCAAAATTGATCGCTGTATTTAAGTATTGCATTAATTATCTAAGCTAACCTTTTAAAAGTCCAACTATAATTCTTCTGTCGCCTCTTAATTTAAAGAGAATTTGATGTACGTAGGTCCTTACTTTCCGTACAAACAATTATTATTTTCATGGGTGACTTTCACTGGATTTCGCAATTAATTTCGATTATTCCCAAATTTATTTCCAAGTTATAAAAATTGTTATCGTAAAAAAAATTCGTCGCAAAACCTCACGTAAAAAAATCTCCGAAATCAATCGGATTAATGAAAATTTGGGAATCTAAAATTTCTGTAACATGAGCTATTGAAAGTTAGAAAATTGTGTCCCTTTAATTGAAAAAGTGTTCTACGGTAACACACTGACATTCGCTTCCAAAATTTCTGTAACATGAGCTATTGAAAGTTATAAAGTTGTGTCCCTTTAATTGAAAAAGTGTGATACAGTGACACACTGACATTCGCATTTATTATATAGGTTAATACTCCCACTGAGATTGAGGTGTAGTAGAATGCGGACCCGGTATCATAGATTAAGGAGGATCATAGAGTCCGGCCGATCATAGATTGAGCGGGCCACTTGACCCTTGTGTCAGCCAAAGTCCGAAATGTAAAATCAAGAGCAACTCCGTTACCTAATCTGTTTTATTTGTGCTGTTAGTATATACTATACAAATATAAAAGAAAACATAGAATTAGCTCCAAATTTGAATTATTTTAAATTCCGCATTAAAAATGAACTATAGGGCGCAACACACACTTTACCAGTCTTTAGCCTAACTTTATAGTGGCGTCGATTTTTAATTCCTGGGATCTGCTCGAAATTACTGGGCTTCGCTCGAAATAACGGGAATGAGAACGGACAAAGCCTGGTTTAGCGGCTGACATATTGATATATCTGCAACGGTGAAAAATTCTAAAAGCATTTGGCATGCTTATGAAAAGCATTCATTCAAAGTGTCAGCACTTTTTTCTACTTACAATAAAAAGCCATCAACTTTCGTTTATTTAGGATAATGCATTCGAATGCAAAATATTTTCGTAAGAGATTTCTTCAACGACCGGCTTTGGAAGTTCGGCTTTGATGTTTTAGTCCTGCCTTGTTTGGAATGCAAAGCAAGATAGACAGAGCTTAACCGAAGATAAAATGTCTGAGGCCAGACAAAGAAAAGAGATATAAGGAAAAAAAAAATCAAAAACAAAGCAATGAACTGGAGAAGAAATGACTAAACGCCAGGGAGTGGATTTGAAAGAGAACGGAGAAATAGAAAAGAAACAGGATTTAAAGAAAATTAAAACAAAGATGGAGGCGTTGAGCATCCAGAAAAGAGAAGTACTTTCAGATCAGAAAAAGGGAAAATACAGCTAAATTAATGAAAGAAGACGAACGATGATAATTGAATTTTTAAGAAATATGAAATACTAGCAGTATGACCCGTCTTTGACCGGGTCTTTCATTACAGAGAACTTTTGCCGTTCATGTGGAGCAGTTTAAGTTTAAAGTCAGCCACCCGAAAATCAATATTAGTAACAGCATTTGGGTGCAAATGAGGAACATCCCCAAAGGGTTAACAATTTGAATGGAGTGTGGCTCTGAAAAGTGAACTGTATAATAATAAATAATATTATTATAAATTAAACTATTTATTTTTATTAAATTTTTTTATGAAAGATATATATCCAAGAACGGATAGTATATAGAAAAACGTTGCTGAGAGTTATAATGGGCAGGTAGTAGTGGAGAGCCACTACCGCCAACAGTTTGGAGACAAAACCGGTACTAAAGAATTATCTATCAAACAAAAAATGTCATCGAAATCGGATGAAAACTGTGGAAACGCATAAACAACGCATAAACAACACACACACACACACACACACACACACACACACACACACACATTAGGAGAATTATAAATATAGATAAAATGAAAGGAAATTTTGAACCCAGATAAACCCAGAGTAACTGACAGAAAAAGAACGACCAAAAAAGTTGGGGGTGGGGAGGAAAGACTATTAAAGTAAAGATAGATAAAGAAGAAAACAAACGGGGGGGTGAACAGAAAGGAACATCGAGAGAAAAAAAAATGGAAGAATGAGTCAGTACCTAATATAATGAAGCAACATCGATGGCAGACGACAGAAATGCAATGCGGCGGAAGTAATAGAAAAAAGGGCGAGCAAGATAGAAGAAAAGGCTAAAGTAAAGATACAAGAAATAGAAAAGATGTGAATGCAGTAAAGGATGAAAAAGAAACAGTGTAAGAATGGAAAAAGGAAAGAGAATATGGAAACTAACAGAAAGCGAAAGAAAAAATGATGGAACCAAAAAGACTTTAAAAAAAAAACTTTGCAATAACGAGGACAAGCAGTTAGAAGAACCTTTTTTGCCTTCCATCATTATGACTGATGCTAACCCCAAGGAGAGTCACGCATTGAACCTTCTTAGACTATTTTTTTCCACGGACATGAAGTGAAAAAATTATATTGAATCAATTTCTCGGTCTGCTGATTGGAAAGTAGGTTCACTGTCATACTAGACAGGTTTCATCACCAGAACTTTAAAAAAAACTCAGAGTTTCAATAATGAGGACAAGCAGTTAGAAGAACCTTTTTGCCTTCCATCATTATGACTGATGCTAACCTCCAAGAGAGCGACTCATTAAGCCTTCCTAGGCTAACTTTTCCCGCTGACATGAAGGGGAAAGATTATATTGAATCAGTTGCTAGATCTTCTGGTAAGATGGTTGGTTCTCTGTTATACTAGACATTTTTTATCACTAGAACCGATCTTATATATTTATAATTGACCTACTATTCGACCATGCATTGAATAATGCTGTCAAATCTGGCCTGGTGTTTGAGCTATGCCTTTACATTCTAGCTACAATCCATATAAGAATCTGCAATTTTATCTGTCCTGATCTGGCATCTCGACAGTTTCCCATCGCCGTTCTCTCTTTTCTATAAATATTTTTATGGCATTATTCTAATGTGCTTTACTCTTTTCTCAATTGAGTACATATTTAAGCGCAGTTGAAATGACTAGCTCTATGCTAACGGTTTGTTCTCTCGCACTTCTCGCCTGTGGAATTCTCTTCCGGTCCCTTGTTTTCAGTCAAATTTGATGTTCAGGAATTTTAATTCAAAGTTAATCGTTACCTTTTGTTTTCTTAATGACTTTTCCTTTATTGCTCTATATCCTTACTAAGGTTTTCCTTTTTCTGAAATTCTTTCACACTCAGTAAACCCCTTGCGTCTTAGTGTCTTTATTGCCTTACTTGTTGTTAAATGATTAATAAAAACAAAGTTAAGTTAGAGAAAAGGAAAGAGCAAGTAATGGAGGTGGTAACAGAATAAGATGAAGAAATGAAAGAAGAAAGATAAAGGACACATGGCCTAGGCACCATGCATACCTGACGAGCTGAAAAGAAATATTCATAGATATATGATTTGTTTTTTACGGTTTACCAACCATTTAATAATCATTTAGGGCCGAAAAATATTTTGGGTTTTAAGAATAATTCTTTCTTTACATTCAAGCGATCTGGAAGAAGGAAAGAGAAAACGAAGAAGAAAGAAAGAAAAAATAATACGAAAACAGGTCATAGGCGAGCACACACACGCACGGCTGACAGATAACAGGTGTCGAAAAATATTCAGGTCAAGCATCTGATCGAGATCCGCGGAAAATGGAAGTTGTTATCAATTGGTTGTCACCCAAGGGAAAAGAAAGAAAAGAAGAAACGAAGTTTAGGGACAATGAAAATATTGATAAGTAACAAGTAGAAAGTGTGTCATTGGAATGATAGTAAAGGTCTAAGTGTGTGGGGAAGTGTATCTAAGGATATGAAGCCAAACCATTAATACGAAAACACAGACAGTCTCCAGAATTAGAAAAAGCCACACAAGAAGATGTTGCTAGAAATTTTTTTTTTTTTTTGAGATAATAAAGATTTTTATTATCAGCCCTTCAAGCGGAGGAAAATGAAATATTTTTATTTCGTTCAAAAACGCCAACGGGTCTGAGAAATTCCTTTCTTAGATCATATCCAATTAGCGATAAACTGCTTGACAAATACCACGTGTTAAAAAGCTGAAGGTGTCATGTCAGTCGCTCATGATAAGGGCGATTTAAATTAATATTTTTGTTTTTTAAGCAAGGTGTTCTTTCCCAAAACAAAGCCACGGATTGTCCACGCCCGACTAAAGACGTCATTGGCTAAATAAGATCACATGACACACGAAGGAGGAGGAAAGATACCCGACCAGGACCTCATTGGCCGAGAGCGGTCACGTGACGCACGAGGAGAATCGGTCGACGCCCCTGTCAGAAGTGTAAGTGTAAGGAGCCGATACGAAGAAGCGGGGCAGCGGGTATACGCCCCTCAGAGGCACAGTAAGGAAGTGGGAGTGAGAGTGAGTTACCGAAAATGGAAAATCCCTAACCAGAAATAAGAAGGGTGGATACGTATTTAGAATTATCGAAAAACCCCTGGCGCCGACAGACCCACCCCAGTTTTGACTGCGTCAATAAAAACGAGACCCCAACCGACAGAAATCAGTTTGAGCCGCGGACGGCGAGCCAGGTTCGTTCGCCCCTTTGCGGGCAAGAGAGGCCAGTTCGTCTGGCCTAAGTGAAGAAGTTCGTCCGACCCAAGCCGAAGTGAAGAAGTTCGTCCGACCCAAGCCGAAGTGAAGAAGTTAATTCGCGCACCGACGGCGGAGATGAGTGACCAGTAATTCAGACTCCCAAGAGAAGAAGTTAGTTCGCGCACCGACGGCGGAGATGAGGGACCAGTAATTCAGACTCTGAAGAGAAGAAGTTAGTTCGCGCACCGACGGCGGAGATGAGTGACCAGTAATTCAGACTCTGAAGAGAAAAAGAGTTCAGCCGCGGACGGCAAAAGAGTTCAGCCGTGGACGACAAACAGAGATGAGCGCCCAGTGTTGAAACCGTGTCAAGATAGCTGACCAAGATTCACGCACACTTCTGGACTCTTCTTCAACCAAGAACAAGTAGTTTGAAGAGCGACTTAGAATCAGACCACAGAAATAAGTTTTTTTCGACTTTCGTCCAAAGACACACCGAAACACAAATTTCTTAGAGAGCAGACAACTTGAAGCCTTAAAGTTGCCTAGTAAAAGCGTCGTGCCACAATCCACAGAACGGGTCGGGAAGTAGACATAGTCCTATGTACCGAGCAAATAGACATAAAAAGTTTGTTACCTTTTTCTTTGATACGTTGGACCTTGTGAGTTTTTATTTTATTTTCTTTTATACATAATTGTGTGTTATCACCCCCGTTAGACTCAGCTTGTATTACGGCCCCAACCCCTGTTTGATCTCGTCTGTCTAAGATCAATTCACAACGTGGGTAGGCAGACTGGAGATCAGTGCAGTTACCCTGGTAAGCAGGCGTTGGAAGCGGGTTGGGAACGGCGAGGCTGGTATCAATCTAACCAAAGGGTTAGAACGTCACGCTTGAAGCAGCGAGGAGCGAACAGCTGACGCCGCGGCGAAGACGTCACAGTTGGTGCTGTCCGTGACCAGGATATCAGAGCCTGGGGAGCACGTGACGTCACAATTGGCGCCGCGACCTGGACCGAACGACACAGTCGACGCTGCGACCGGGGGACACATGGCACAGTGGATAAAGGCGTTGGTTAGATCCAGTGACAGGACCCAAAGATTGTGAGTTCAGTACCCGGTTAAGGCAGTGGAGAACTTTCAGAGAGAATATTAACAGGAGAAAACTGATAACTGACATCTATTAAACGTGTCACGTGGAACTAGAACATTCTACTCCAGTGAGCGAAATAAAGGGTTCAGTTCGACATTCCAACCACCTGAAGAAGGCCGGAGCGTACAACGACCGAAACGTTGTAATAAATATGGCGACAAAAATAAGGACAATAATCCGAATAATGTAAATAATGTACATAACACCTCATCTCAGAAATATAGACAGATATAGAAAGATAAATGTATGAAAATATTAGAGAGGTGAGGGGAAGAGAAAACGATGAAAGGAGGATTTAGGCAAAGGTAAAGAGTAGAAGGAGACTATTATGGGGTGATAAAAAAAGTAATAATAATTGCAGGCAGATCGGTGAATTTTAGAGAAAGGAACAGAGATGGAAGTAGGAAAGTAATCACGATGTTAGAAACATGAGACAAGGTTAGGATGGCGAAAAGTTGAAAAAGGAAGCAAGAAATGAAAAAGAGAATTAGAAAGGAAGTTAAAGTTGTTGAAAGATGTCGAAGTAAATAAAGAAGCTTGAAAATGATGGTAAGAAAAGGCGCGAAATAAAGAAGAGAAGAAAATGTTTGAAAAGCAATTCCATGAGAAGAAAAGAAAATGGTAACAGCATCTTAAAATATAATATGCACAATAAGGAAAGTAGTGATCGTTGTAATCCTTCTGATTCAAGCAGGATTCTTACGAACAAGGAGATTATGTTTCTCCATATTGTGAAAGCAAGGGTTTCTGCAAGGTAAATGACAAAAATAAGAACAGAAATAAAGTGTCCTTGAATATAAATACAATGTTTTTATTATTCACATAGTGATTTTATCCATCATTTTTCTTACACACACACACATATATATATATATATATATATATATATATATATATATATATATATATATATATCAATCAACGTTATAATGAAATAGCGAATTTCTCACAGTATATATATATATATATATATATATATATATATATATTCATTTTTGAGTAAATCGCTATTTGAATAAAAACCATTGTATTTGTATTCAAGGACGTTGTATTTTTATATATGTTCTGATCACCTGAGAGCTTATGGGAGCGTGAAATTTAAATAGCGCCCCTATCTTTTGAGGTGTGACGCTAATAAATAAATAAAATGCTATAAAGTGTTTTTCCTTTGTTCTAATAACCATTGTTGCTTCCTGGTTATAGTTTACGTAAGTGTTACCGTTTTGGTCTGTTCTTGAATTTAGTAATTACTTTTGGTGCTCATCTGGCAGAATTTTTGTTTGGATTTTTCTTATATATATATATATATATATATATATATATATATATATATATATATATATATATATATAAACATTTGAAGAAAGAAAAAGTTTGATAAAAGGAATCCATTAATTCCTTTAAAATGGCATTTTATGTTTATGTTTTGGATATGAAACGGAGTAGATATAAGTTTTCGAGAAAATATATCTTAACAGATATGTGGTTTCCCGAAAATGGAAAATAGAGCCTTCCTATGCAGTAACGCTCTTCCTAGTCGAACGCTAAATTCCTCTACAAAGCCGTTCGCAGTTTCGATTCCTGCCACAGAGTAAATGTCCTCTATTAATATTTCTGAAATATGCCTGCCGCTAGAAGTAATAATCACTATTTAAAAATAAATCTGAATGTCTATTTCAAATAAGAGTATTCATTGTAATAATGGTTGAGGTAATATATATATATATATATATATATATATATATATATATATATATATATATATATTAGCTAATTCTGCTCAATATCAGGAACAGATTGTGCATATATATTATGTGGCTATAGAACTCATCACTGCATGATAGTTACACACTTTCAGAGATCATTATATTACTATATATATATGTATATATATATACATATATATGTGCGTATATATACATATATGTATGTGTGTGTTCGTGTGTACGTGTGGGTATACCAGATATAACACCAACATTATCCAAATTGTGTAACACGAAAGCTGTCCAATTGTTAGATTAACATTTGAACGGTTGTATCTTAGAAATGATTAAAGTTATCTTACTGGAATTCTCCGTGGCTTATATAAAACTATGGAACTTTGAACAGTATGAATGTACTTGGCTTTAAGTTGATATGATGATCCCTCAAGCTGTTGTGACTTCCTGATCCAGGTTTCCTCTCTATTGTTCCCTGTTTTTTAAACTTATTCACCATTCTCTTGATGGTTCTTAAATGGAATTTGAAGATGGAAGCCAAAGTATGAATGTCGGTAACATAAACTGAACGCCTAAATGATCTTTTTCGTCTCACCATTTTTTTCAATTGGAAGTCATTGTGGGGCTGACACAAAATGATTTTAAACTGTTCTTTTTGTAGTTGAATAACTCAAAGGGTTTTTCCTTGAGTCTTACAACAAATGATATCAAGATGACTAAACGTGTTTGAAAACCTGGAAAAAATAAACTCATCTAGTTTAGTGTTTTTTTTTTTTTTTTTTGTTATTTGTTTTTTTGTCATTAAAAGTTTTGTGGGTTGGACATATATTCCATGCTGTTACATGATTTGGACATTTTTTTCTGTTACACTCGCTATGCACAAAATAACGGGACAGTTTATATTGTAATGAGTCAAAAGTACAATCAGGCACAGATTGTCTTTAACGTCTGTTGCGCATGCGCATTACATTATAACGTTATCGCTAACGTTGTAGTGTATAGAAGTGTTTGGAAAAAACATGTGTAGTGTGTGGTCGTCTCAGCACACCACAGTTTCCATCAGTGACGATAACTTGTGCAGCATTTTAGTCCAAGCCTGACATTCCCTAGGTCTAATAATCACCATATTCCTCAGCTTGTACTTTGTAACGTTTTCCTCTACAAAAATGATATTCCAATTCAAAGAACCAAGATTTCAAGACGTCACGGATATCCAAGAGAATGCGTCAAAGCAGTTTCTCGCTATCCCAAAAAGTATTTCTAGGAATAAATGGAAACGTCACTGGATAAATTTAATGGCTTCTTAAAAGAGACTAATTCGAAGAAGATTAAATAGCGAATTGATATTTTTTATAGTTTTCTTTTTATAGCATCAGTCCCGATACTTTTTGTTCAGACCTCGTGTGCATATATATATATATATATATATATATATATATATATATATATATATATATATATAATGAAATGGACTAAGTGCGACAATTTTTTAACATGATTCTGTTTATACGTTATTTTATAGAGACAATTATTTAAGTAAATGCTCTGCTTATAATAAATATTTACCGGCTTGAATGTACGAGAAATTTCGTAGAAAATATGTGTCTTCCAACAGGAATCCAACCTGAGAAAAGAAAGAATGAAAGAAAGGTAAGTAAAACGTCTAAATTAGAAGCGAAGGCCACTATGCAAATTGAGAAATTCTTTCAAAGAACAGAATATATGTGATTTTACGGGATTTAACCACTAGTCCTTGTAAACAAAAATCGAAAACATCCGAGGTAAGATTTTCTCAACTCATTTCGCTGAAATTGTAAAAAAAATAAATCTATACGCACATTAGAACGTAACTTTCAACATAAAAAATCCAAATATTTTGCGATGTCAATATTCAAGAATCCCACAAGAAAAATAATTATTACTTATTTAATTGCCGAAAAAGAATTTGTAACAAGCAGTAAACGAGACCGTCTTATTGAATCAATTACAGAGCAACTGACAAGGTGAAGAATACCAGGTTTTGTACGATAAATTTCTTTTTTCTTTTATTGAATGACCGAAGAAGAGGCAATAAAAGAGAGCATATTTAAAATCTTCCACAGAATGTCAGTCTCGGAACTCAATCAAGCCTGAATCCTAAACAATGATAAGCATTCAGCTGTTTGTTGTTGACAAGAACTAGATAGGAAACAAAGGATTTTAAAGAATATGAAATATGAAGAATTTTTCTTACTTTATCCAAAACAATTTGATAGAAGTGATGTAAAAATGAATAATGAATACTTTTGAAAAAACGAAAGAACAAAAGCGGGACATAAAGAAAGAAAGAAAGAAAGAAAGAAAGAAAGAAAGAAAGAAAGAGAGGGAGAAATAATATGACTGCAAAATAACGAAAGAAAACACGAAAGAAAGAAAGAAAGAAAGAAAGAAAGAAAGAAAGAAAGAAAGAAAGAAAGAAAGAAAAATAATAACGAAAGAAAGAGAGGGAGAAATAATATGACTGCAAAATAACGAAAGAAAACAAGAAAGAAAGAAAGAAAGAAAGAAAGAAAGAAAGAAAGAAAGAAAGAAAGAAAAATAATAACGAAAGAAAGAAAAAATAATAACGAAAGAAAGAGAGGGAGAAATAATATGACTGCAAAATAACGAAAAAAACAAAACAAGAAAGAAAGAAAGAAAGAAAGAAAGAAAAGAAAGAAAGAAAGAAAAATAATAACGAAAGAAAAGAGGAGAAAGAAAAATAATAACGAAAGAAAGAAAGAAAAAATATGACTGCAAAATAACGAAAGAAAACAATAAAGAAAAGAAAGAAAGAAAAGAAAGAAAGAAAGAAAGAAAGAAAGAAAGAAAAATAATAACGAAAGAAAGAGAGGGAGAAATAATATGACTGCAAAATGACGAAAGAAAGAAAGAAAGAAAGAAAGAAAGAATGAAAATAAACACAAAAAAGACGGAAAGTCCGAAATACAAAATAAAGAACGAAAGAAAGAAGGAAGGAAAAAATTAGAAAGAAAAAAGACATACAGACAGACAGAATAAATTAATAAATGAAGGAAAGAAAGTCAGTTTAAAATAAAGAAAAAACAACGGAAGAAAAAACGAATAAAAGTCAGTAAAAAGAACGAAAGAAAAATAGAGGAACGAAGAAAGGTATGAAGGAAAACACGGAATAAAAAAGAAACAAACAAAACCCGTCAATACGAAAGAAATTGGAGCAAACAAAAAAAAAACGCGGAAAGAGCACGAAAAATAAAGAACAAGATAAGAAAGAAAGAAAGAAAGAAAGAAAGAAAGAAAGAAAGAAAGAAAAAAGGTTACGGTCTCAAAGATCAAGTTAGAAGATAAAGCATTCATAAGTATCTTAAAGAGAAGCGTGAGTTGGAAGAAAATCGGATCGGGAAGATATGAAAAGAGAAAAGCAAAAGACAAAAAGAGAAAACAAAAGAAAAAGAAAAATAATCTTGATTATATAAGACATTACTTCCTTAGGCTTTATAAAAGATATTAATATGAAACATGGCGGAATGAATAAGCCCATTGCTTTCAGTAGAGAATAGGGGGCTTGAACTTTGGGATGACACCTCAACGCATTTAGAATCAACGTCGTTATAAAATGAGCAAAGCTACCCATCAAGATCATTTTCAGAGTTGCATATAGGGAGAAATATATGTTTATATTGGCTGTACAGGTCTTTTTTGGTGGAAAAGAGGATCACAATGCATAAAATGTGCATAAATGGTCCGAGTGAAGCTAATGGATTTTTTTTTCCTCTTCTCATTCTCAGTTTTTCGCATCTTCGTTGCATTTCTTCATATCGATTTCTCTCTCTTTTTTTTTTCCTGATTGATATGCGTTTGTGTGTGTCTGAGAGCGCGTGAGTCTGTAATTTTTTAACAAGTTTTCGTTTTTGATCATTTTTTATTTCTTCATTTTTCTTCTTTTTTACATTTTGCTTTTATTTTTTTTTCTTCTTCACTTTCTTTAATATCCTCTTTTTATTTAAAACTTTCTTTCTAAATGTGCATTTTCATTGTCTTCGTTTTCTTTAAATGCTATCTTTTTAATGATTTCCTTTAAATTTACTCTAGAAGCTTCATTTAACTGTACTTTCTAAATATGCATTTGATCTTTTTTTTATTTATTTTTCCGTCAGCTTTATCTTCGGATTCTTTCTTGAAGACTTCCATTTTCAATTCCCTTCATTAAAATCTTAATATTCTTTTCTCTTTCTTTCGGTTATTCTTTTTCTCTTACACTTTTTTTCTCTCTTTTTTTAATTCTTGTTAATTTTTTTTCTTTTTCTTCTTCTCATCCTCCCATTATTTTTTCTTTCTTTTGAATGTCCATTCGTTGCTTCTCAGCCTTACTTTTTATTTCCTTATCCTTTAAAATCTATTCTTTTTCTTTAAATCTTGTTTTCTTTCTTTATTTTTTGCGGCTATGTTCCTTCTCTTTTCCATTAAGTATTCTTTGGTTTGTTTATTTTTATTTGTTTTAATTTCGTTCTTTTCGAATTTCTTACTCTTTTTCTTATTTTAATATATGAATACTTACCTTTTTAACTTAAAATCATTTTTCTTCATTTCTTTCCGTTATTCAAATCTTCTTATGGCTTTAAATCTTTCAGTTTGCTTCTCTTCTCATTGTTTGACGTCCTTTCTTCTTTATCTTTTGTTAAATAATTTCTTACTACAGGGTGTCCCAAAAACGCGTACGCTTTTGAAGCTTTCTCAAGAAATAATTCAAGCAACTAGAACCAATTATATATAATTTAAATAATGCATATGAAGACACTATTTTTTACAAATGAATGCTCTTAATATTTTTTTATCGCATGTTTTCAAATTGATGTCCGTTATGATCCAGACATTACTGACGACGCGATGCACTAAGGTAGCAATCAGCATTTCGCTTGGACTTCTCTGAAAACTTTCCATTTCTCGCTCCACAGAACGTTGTTGATATTTTTGGACACACTGTATACTTCAAACTTATCTCTAATTTGTGAGAGTTTAAGCCACGTAGGTGGATCTGAATTAACCTCTCTTCAATGACGTCTATGAACTTCAACTACAGTACTTCCTGTAGCATTTCAGGATGAACTTTTTTCGTTCAAAGCTAAGCCTGGATAAATTTAGTAATACTAACGTGTAAAAAGCCGTCCTGGGTATGACCATAAACTACATCCGCGTCCAGAGTAAGACTATAAACTGCGTACAACAGCAAGGCTTTTGATCAGGAGGTTTTGAGGAGCGTGGAACCACCTCTTAATTGCTGATGTTCGCAGGTCCACCCTGACCCGGGGTGGTAGCACATGTTACGGTCACAGCTATGGGCAAATAGTTAACTCCCAAACTGCGGTCAAAACACTAAGAACGACTTTGTAAAAAAATTATTACCAGCAACACATTTTTGGGAAAAATTATTACCAGCAATATATTTTTTAAGAAAAAATATTACCAGAAATAGATATTTGAAGGAAAAAACATTACCAGCAACACATTTTTGAAACAAAAATAATTACAAGCAATATAAGTTTTGTCGGCATTAAATAACCCATTGAGTTTGATATCCCGTAAAACAAACCAAATGAACGTGCGAAAGAAAGCAAGTGGACTTGAGCTATAAACTGTAAAAGTGGGTATATATATTTGAGATAGACTGTATACGTTTTTTTTATCTTACATTCAATTTCCCATTTTAATGTCTTCAAATCATAATTTCTTGTTTAATTTTTACTCCAAAATATGTTGTTTCGTTTTCTGTTCATAGTTTTTTTTTTTCTCTGAAAAAAAATCTTCACGTTTTTCGTTCCATCTTTGTTCTCTTCCCTTTTTCTTATTTCATCCTCCTTTTGTTTCATCAGCATATCTCGATTTTCTCTCAAAAGTATTCCACAACGTTTTTCCACCTTACTCTCCATGCTTGTCTTCTCGTAGAAACAATCACACCTCTTCTCGTGCAGCTTTTCTGTACGATATTCATTTGTTCGCTTTTGTCTTCGTTCTTCCTATTCTTCTTCTTCTTCATCTTCTTCTTCTTCTTCTTCTCTCTCTCTCTCTCTCTCTCTCTCTCTCTCTCTCTCTCTCTCTCTCTCTCTCTCTTCCGCCTTTCGGAGCCGGATTTCCAACTACTCTTATCTTTTCTCATTTTTTTCTCTTCTATATTTTTATTTTTATTTTTACCTCGAGACATTTGTCTTACTGATTTGGAAAACCATTAACACCTAACATCAGCGCCTGTCAAACAAAATCAAGATATTCTTTCCCAGCTGAAATAAAAATGGATATGTGCAGAAAAGAGCCACAGTTAGTGATTTTGCCCAAATGCAAATTTAAGCTAAAAGAAAAGCTTTTACTACTACTACTACTAATAATAATAATAATATTTTTATGACATTGTATCTTCATATGCACATACCTTTCTATTATGCTTATATAATGGCTATATATGTCGATATTCTCGAAAATGTTCAAGAAATAGTCTGTTATGTTATTAGTTCTGACTTGGCATCTCTACTTCCGTTCACTTTTCCAACGCCGTGACGTGGCTTCCCTCTGTCGTTTCTATGAATACTCTCATACTAGTTATTCTAATATGCTCTCCTCCTTCCTACCTAGGCTTTCTATACTAAAGTGTGCTACTATATTAGCAAATAGGCCTCATCGTTTTACTGTTGCAATAGAATAGAACTTGCCGTTACATCTAGATTATAACATATTTTCTTGCACTTCTCGCCAATGGAATTGCCTTCTGATTTCTAGCTTCCCTGTCACCTACAATCTGAAAAAATTCAAAATGCAATGCCAATTGCAATCTTCTGTCTTCTAGAAACCTGTTTTTTTATTGTCCTTTCTCCTCAATATAGTCTTCTCATTCACTTTCATTCTCAGTAACCCCACCCTGCGTCTTGCTGCGTGGGGGTGGGTTGAAATGACTGAAGAAATATTTGAAGTGAAGCATTTATAAAGATTTAACATGACATTCTAGCTAGTCTCATATTCTGAGAGATTGTGTCTCGGATGAAGGTTAAAAACAAAATATACTCAATTTTTCAATGAATATTTTACTTAAAACCATTATTTAATATATTATCCTTTTAAACGTTATATATAAAGGCTCTGTTTGCTTTAATTAAACTGCATTAATTACATTCACAGGTTTCGATGTTTGAGAAATTTCGTAGAAAATATACGCTCTCCCACAGGAATCGAAACTTAACCCTTATGAAAACTATCATCTGACCTGATGTGCTGTTAAACACTCAGTCACAGAGAAGCGTCTAGTTAACAAAGTCCGAAAAAAAGTTCATACAAAATATAACGTATGAACAGAAAAAATATATATATATAGCTAGATAGTTAGATACAATTTACTGAATCTGTTCATCTATCAATTTACTCAAAGTTACACGTATCAGCCAAATTTTTTTTCAATATTAACATCTAACATTTACTCCGAACTTGCGAAGCGGGTTTTGTCGAGAAAGTTTTGACATCTGATCACATATGCATAGAAACATATATATATATATATATATATATATATATATATATATATATATATATATATATATATATATATATGATAGTCATTAACACTGGTTTAAGACCAGCTTGTAATCTAATGCATTTTAAACTACGTAGTAAAGCGATCAGTATTCTATATGTCCTACTTTGCTTTTGATTACCTCTTGGATGCAATGGGGGATGCCCAGAATGAGATTGTTACGTTAGTCAAACAATAGTTCTTTTGCCCAGAATTCTTTTGTAGCCTATCTCAGTGATTCGATATTTGAACGTTGTTCTTCTGCAGCTTTACCTTTTACAATGCTCTCATAAATTTTTAACTAGGTTCAGATCTGGGCTGTTCTCCGGCAAGTTCAGTTTTGGCACTTTGATGCTCTTGAAAAAAAAATTTTAATGACCATTGGCTGGTTGCATTGAAAACCATGATGCATGAATATTGTCAAGAGATGTGTGTGCGTATGCAGTTCCAATTTTTCCTGTCGTTGTTCCACATACCTTGCACCATTCACCATTGTTCGTGAAGGCAAGAATCAAAGTTCAGCTGTTCCACATTTGGATATGGCGTTCAAAATCATCTGGCTTTGTGGGTACTTCATAAACTGTATTGTATTCTTTTCACCAAATCTTTTTGTCTTCTAATATTTCTTTTACGCATAACGAACTGTTGCAAAATAGATTCATCTGAAAACTTAACTATACTCCAGTCTTCGGCTGTTCAGGTTCCAGGTTGCTTAGCAAGTATCAAACGCTTGGATTTTATAGCCGTGGTTAGCCGTTGTTTACACGCTGGTTTGAATTGATTCAGACCAAACTCAGACAACTTG